AGTCATTTTCCTGGTGTGCCTTTTAGATACTTAAGAATTCGATACACAGCTTCAAGATGTTCTTCATACGGGGAGTGCATAAATTGACTCACCATGCTCATAGCGAAGGCAATATCAGGACGTGTATGTGATAAGTAAATCAATCTTCCTACCAGCCTTTGGTATCTACCCGTATCTACTGGAACCCCATCTTTAACTTCTCCAAGTTTAGCATTAACTTCTATCGGAGTGTCTGAAGGTTTGCGCCACTAATTCCAGTTTCTTTCAAGAGATTTAGAATATATTTTCGTTGCGAAACCACAATGCCCTTCTTTGGTCTTGCCACTTCCATTCCAAGAAAGTACCTTAGCTGGCYTAAGTYTTTAATCTCGAATTCCTTGGCTAAGCTCTGCTTTAGTCTGCTCATCTCTTCAATATCATCTCCAGTCAAGAKTATGTYATCAACATAGACAATCAGAACCGAAACCTTGTCTTTGGTGGATCTTTTTGTGAAAAGAGTATGATCAGATTGTCCTAGTCCAAAGCAATCTTGTGTGTGTCTTGGACTCCCCCATCGGCTGGCTTCTTAAAACTGAACTTCGATGGGAGTAGTCGGGGGAATCCTGGACAATCGGGGACTGGAGGTGTGTTTAGGGATGAGAATGGGCTTGTCTCTGCCATGTTCTCTAGCCCAATTGGAGTGTGTGACTCTCTTAGGGCTGAAATATTTTCAGTTTTGGAAGGAGTTCAAAGAGCCAAGGAAATGAATATAAGAAAACTCATCATTGAAGGGGATTCAGAGGTGGTGGTAGGGTGGCTGAATAAAGAAAACAACAATTTATGGATGTACAGTAATGAGAGGAGGAAGTTTAGGTGGCTGGTTCAAGAGATGGAAGTTAAGGTCAGATGGGTGAATAGGTTAGCTAACTCCTTTGCGGATGGATTAGCTAAGCAAGGAGTCGTGAGGGAGTCGATGTTTTGGGCACAAGTGTAATTTTTCCTTTTTTTTTCTTGGGAGTGTTTTGCTCCTTTTGGAAGATAAGAAAGTTTATCTTCCTCTCTGTAATTCTTTTGTGATTAAGTAATGAAATGTTGTTATTGATAAAAAAAAAACTGTTGGGTGGACCATGTAAATCATAGCAGAAATTAATAGTGTGCCCCTCTGATCCACAGTATGTGCATTTTCTAGGTGCATTACTCCTTCCTCTACCACGACCTCCCCCTGACTCTCGACCACTACTACAGCCACCAGAACGATTAAACATAGAACCACCTCTATTTCCTGGAAACCCACGGCCACCACCCCCACCTCTATTTCCACGACCTCCCCCTCTATTCACCACAAAACCAGATCTGTCCGAGAGAGAAGAAGACTCTGTAGACTCAATAGATGTCCTCCGAAGACGAGCAAACACTTCTTCAAGTGAAGGAAGAGCTGACCCCCCCAATATCTGTGCCCGAACAGGTTCATATTCAGCCTTCAAACCCACTAGGAACCTTGTCACATCAAGTTGCTCTCACTGTTGTTGCTGAACTTGAACATCCCGAGTCAGAGGATGATATACATTAAGCTCATTTCTGATATTCCTCATGCTTTCATAGTATTCCTCCAAGCTTTGGTTACCTTGCTTCGGATTAAAGTACTCTTGGTACAACTGATATACCCTAGTAGTATTGTCTTGGCCGG